TCCACCGTGTGGAGCTCATGTCTATTTGGAATCCAAGGTCCTTTCTGGGCCCATCAGCCAGGTCCACAAGAGGTAAGTTGAGAACACAGCTCCCTGAGCCTACTGCTTTGACGAAGGGCTGTCAGTGGGCTGGCCTGTGGAATGTGCCCAGCCTGACTTTGTATCTAGAGGCAATGATGGTGATAGCAGTAAAGATTTTAGAAGCCTAACCAGTGCTCCTCCCCAGGATTTAGGAGCTCCCAAATCAGGATTGAGTCCTGAATCCCATGAAGAGCTTCTAGTAGCTTCAATGTTATCCTCTTAGATAGGGGAGACAGGGAGCTTAGTTAACATTCCTAAAGCACAAAAACACAAAGTGAAATTGCAAAATTAAAAAAAAAGGACATAAAAAAAAAAAACTGCAATATAGAACTTGTGAATAGATGTCATGTAAAGTAAAGAATGGCAGTAGCCAGAAGCCGGTGGCTCACGCCTGTAATCCTAACTACTCAAGAGGCTGAGATCTGAGGATCACCGTTCAAAGCCAGCCCATGAAACTCTTATCTCCAATTAACCACCAGAAAACTGGAAGTGTCTCTGTAGTTTAAGTAGTAGAGCACTAGCCTTGAGTTGAAGAGCTGAGGGACAGCGTCCAGGCCCAGAGTTCAAACCCCACAACCAACAACAACAAAAAAAGGCAGTGACCTACCTCCAAACTCAGTTAAATATAGAATTAATTCAAGATTTAAGGTATTGAATTAGACAATTTCAGTTCCATAAACTGCTTAGGGTCACACATTAACTAACAAATGTTGGTGTGTAGGGCTGGGAAGGTGGCTCAGTGGTAGAGTGCTTGCCTTGCATGCATGAGGCCCTGAGTTCAATTCCTCAGCACCACATAAGCAGAAAAAGCCAGAAGTGGTGCTGTGGCTCAAGTGGTAGAGCACTAGTCTTGAGCTGAAGAGCTGAGAAACAGCACCCGGACCCCGAGTTCAGATCCCACGACCAATACACACACACACACACACACACACAGAAAAATGTTGGTGTGTAAAAAGTAAGAGACAAACCTCCCTACAAAAACTATAAGGAGATGGATACACATTAATATTGAACATGCCCCTTTACACAATGTCATGGGGAATGTGAATAATATTCTAAAATTGTTGAAATACACACCAAATGCTGTAACTGGCTAGGAAACATCTATTTACATATTCATGAGGCATGCATACTTGAAAAATAAAATTTTAGGGGGCTGGGAAGGTGGCTCAGTGGTAGAGCGCTTGCGTTGCATGCTCAAGGCCCTGGGTTTGATTTCTCAGCACCACATAACCAAAAAGAAAAAAGCCGGAAGTGGCGCTGTGGCTCAAGTGGTAGAGTGCTAGCCTTGAGCTGAAGAGCTCAGGGACAGCTCCCAGGCCGAGAGTTCAGGCCCCACGACTGGACCCCCCCCAAAAAAAAGAAAAAAAAAGAAAAAGAAAATTTAATTTTAATTTAATTTTAATTTTAATTTAATTTTAAAATCAGAATATAAAAATAATAATGAAATAAAATGAAATGAAAAACCCAATGCCAAATGGCTAAAAATTTCAGGAAGTTAAAAGATTTACATTTTATTTTATTTTTTTGTCAGTTGTGGGGCTTGAACTCTGGGCCTGGGTGCTGTCCCTCAGCTCTTCAGCTCAAGGCAAGGGCTCTACCTTTTGAGCTACAGCACCACTTCCGGTTTTCTGAGTAGTTTATTGGAGGTAAGGGTCTCACAGACTTTCCTGCTCGGGCTGGCTTTGAACCTTGATCCTCAGATCTCAGCCTCCTGAATAGCTAGGATTACAGGCGTGAGCACCTCCAGCGCTGGCTTGCATTTTATTTTAAAAAAATCATGTAAATAAATGAGTGGAACACTCAAATCAAGAACAACAACTAAGGAAGCCAGAAGTATAAGATATAAGCAAAAATTCCAAAAACAAAAATAAAACAGCTGGAAAATCTGAATAAGATCAGCAGGTTGCAGTATTATACCAATGTTACTATCCTGATTTTGAAGTAACAGAATCATAATGCAAAATAAAATGTTAACTTTTAGAGAATCTGATGAAGACAGTATACCTATGTACCATTTGTAACTTTTCCTAGGACTAAAATTCTTTTGTCAATACTATATTTTGAACCCAGTGCCCTGTACTTGCTGGATTAGTATTTTGCCTCTTGAATCACATGTCCAGTCCTTTTCACTTTAGACATTTTTCTGATAAGGTCTCTCATATATATATATATATATATATATATATATATATATTTATTTATTTATTTATTTATTTATTTATTTATTTATTTATTTATTTATTTATTTTTGCCAATCCTGGGGCTTGAACTCAGGGCCTGGGCACTGTCCATGAGCTTCTTTATTTGCTCAAGGCTAGCACTCTAACACTTAAGCCACAGCACCACTTTGGGCTTTTTCTATTTATGTGGTATTGAGGAATCAAACCCAGGGCTTCATGCATGCTAGGCAAGCACTCTACCACATCCCCAGTCCAAGGTCTCATACTTTTTCTTATTTATATGTACTGAAGAATTGAACTCAAGACTTCATGCATGCTAGACAAACACTATACCACTAAGCTACATTCCCAGCCTGTCTCAGACTTTTGTCTGGTCATCTTGGAACTACATTCTTTTTACCTATACCTCCGAAGTAGCTGTGATTACAGATATGCATCACCATGCTCAGTTTGCTCTTAAACCTTATCTAGCCAGAGTAGACATGTTCAGCTATGTTGGTAAATAATTTTTTTTCTGCATAAGCCAGTTTAAGATGTGTTTTATCTGAAGTAACTTAAAGTTTCTTGATTAGTTAAGTCTTCGAGACTCCTGTAAAGCAATTGAGAAGCTAACAGATAGACAGATATAAAAAGGGCCCCAAGAAGTTAATATTTACAAATGCTATCAATGTGTACGATCTACTAATATTTATACCGAGATTATAGTAGTAAAGAGAAAGGTTAATTGAGGAATCTTTGAGTTGTGGAATGCCACACTCACCATGGAGAGCTCCTTTCTAATTCTTTTTTTTTTTCTTTCTGGTTGGTAGTGGTGCTTGAACTCAGAAACTGAATATGGTCCCTGAGCTTTTTTGCTCAAGGCTAGTACTCTACTACTTTGACCCATAGCTCCACTTTCTTTTAAAAGAAAATCAAACTTTTTACATAAACATTTCCATACATACAAAATTTGCAACATAAAAATAGTTTAAAAAATAGTTACCAGTAATATAACCTCCATCTAAATTCATTTTTATTTTTTTTTGGTCAGTCATGGGGCTTGAATTCAGGGCTTGAGCACTGTCCCTGAGCTTTTTGCTCAAGGCTAGTGCTCTGCCAATTTGAGCCACAGCTCAAATAAACTTTTTCTGGTGGTTAATTGGAAGTAAAGGTCTTATGGGTTGGCTTTGAATCACATCCTCAGATCTCAGCCTCCCAAGTAGTTAGATTTACAGGTGTGCACCACCAGCACCCAGAAAAATTCAATAATTCTCACTGGCCATATTTGTGTTATTAGGGTGAGGAACACAAAACAAAAGCAAGTATACATACACTTCAGCATTTGTCTCCTGGGAGGGCTGGATCTTCTTTTGTGGTACTGGGGTTAAAACTTAGGGCCTTGAGATTGTTAGTCAGGTGCCCTATCATTTGGACCATTCTGTCAGACGAAGGCCTGGATCTTAACTGAAAGATTTAAGGCTTCATAAGCTTTCCTTTCCAAACATTCATTTGAACTATGTATTTATTATCATTCTGACCATATCAGCATTTAAGATGCTTTTTCTAGTTTGTCCTGTTTCTACTGGAGAAAGGTACATTTTTAAAAACATGCACCTTATTATCTTTAAAATATTTTTTTTCCCAAACTGGGTGACAGTGGTTCACTCCTGTAATCCTACTCAGGAGGCTGAAATCTGGGGATCAAGGTTTAAAGTAGCTTGAAAGTCTATGAGACTCTTATTTCCAATTAACCACCAAAACCCCAGAAGTGGAACTGTAGCTCAAATGGTACAGTGCTATCCTTGTGCACAGAAACTCAGGGATAATGCCTAGACCCAGAGTTCAAGCCCCAGGACTGGTACCACCGCCCTCCCCCCAAAAAAGTTTTTCTCAAATTACCAAGCACAAAAAATTAGCTTAGTTGCCTGTAGAAAGATAATAAATACTAGCTGGAGAAGAGAGATACAAAGGGGTAAGCAGAAAGTATTTCCTAATGTGTCTGTCCATCAGTCTCTCAAAACTTAGGTCTCCCAATGGGCTTTGTGGACAAAGAAACATCTTTAAAAAGAAAGGAGTGCACCGGTACTCTGAGAAAAACGGTGGGATTTCGATCATCAGTAGAGACACACTTACCTGGGATCTGGCTGTGAGATGCAGAGCTGTTACTTCTCCCTCTTCTGGACTCTTCTCTTGGGAAAGGGGAGAATCTTGGGAAGACGAAGCTAAGGGCAAGAAAGTAGTAATGATGAGACCAAGCCTTATGTTCCCATTCAGACCTTACAAGGCTAAAAATCCCTTCACCATGGCTACATGTGCTCATTAGCAACGTTGAGATCAAAGAACTCTGGCTTCTATGTCTGTTTTTATTTTATTAACGAACCACAGGGTAACTGTGTTGATAAAGACAATGCATGTGGAAGAAATATTTTTGCAAACACAAAGCTAAATTCTCAGACCCCACTGATAGAGATTAGGATGGGATAATAAATTAGAAGAAAAAAAAGTGACAAAAGTAGTCACAACTATGCTCCCAACTTAGAAACTTAACACCTGCTTATATTTGGGGGGCCGCTTTGAAGAGTCCACTGTGCATCCACTCCGGGGTGGAAAGGGGGTTCAGCTCCACCAAATCTTCCACAAACAGCCCATCCATACCCAAGACAATGGATGCAGACAGTCCTCTCTGCCAACCAGCCACTTGGGCAATGCCCTTCCCTCCTACCCCCCCCCCTCCCAGAAGGAATTCTGCACTTCCATGACCCAAGTTCATCCCCGGAGCAATTTCTACCTCTTGTCTTCGAGACTTCGACCAAATCTGTCTTCATGATTACCACCTCCTCCATGTCCTGCGGATTCTGCTCTTCAGTTTCCACCTCAATGGATGCAAGTCCCTGGAGCCTCGGAGTGCTTCCTCCAGCCTCCCCTCTAGCGTCTCTGCGGGAAGATCTCGGTCAGGTCAGCTTGGTTTTCCTGCTCGTTGTGGAGCCTGCCTCTATCCTACGGAGCGCAAGCCTGGAAACCTGGATGCAGCATCCATGAGGCTGGGTCCTCAGACACCGGTGTCTGCCGCTTGGGGCGGTCCGGGGATGGGGGGTGGGGGACGGATGGAGCACCGAGGGTTGGCACTAAGGCTGCCGTAGATGCACAAAAAATCACGAACAAACTCCGTGGCGTTCCGCACACCCACCCAGGACCTTCGACTGCCCGGCATTCCCAGCTCCATTCCGCCCCCTACCCTGCCACCCACTGGCACCCCCTTTGCACCCCAATCCCAAAGGGCAGGGATTAGGGATCGTGCATGTGGGGATGGAGTTCAAGGTCTGTGCCCTCCAGCCTCGACTCCGCTGGGAACGATCCCTGATCACTGTGGAGGTCGAGCCAAGAAGTGCAGTATGGTAGCATCCAACTTACCTTCTATTCCTGGCCTGACAAAGGCTACGAACTTCTAGGGCCAGTTCGTAGTCGCGCATGCGTGAGAACCCGCGGGGCAAGGCGTCCCACTAGGAACTACGATTCCCAGAAGGCACTGCGCGTTTATCCCCTTTTCCCTTCCCGCCCCCCGCCCGTTTTTCAACAGGTGGGAGGGAACAAGCGTGTCTAGGCTGTAAGGACTACTTCCCTCTCGCGAGAGTTTACCACAACATTTTAACTAGCGAGGACTAAAGTACGTGGGAACTGTGAGTAGTCAGTGGCCTTTACCTACGCTTTGCACATTTGTCTATAGCACAGAGCTTGTATGTGCTGAGCCTTCAGCCCAGATTACTGTAAGATATGGGGGGGTTAGGATATATGGCTTTTATCCTTCCTAAACTTATCTTTTGCTTTTAAACCCTCCAAAAGTGAAAGAATCAGAATTAAAATTGGATTCCTAATCTCAAAAACTGCACCTGGCATTTTGTGGTCTCCAACTGAAGCCGGGTAGACTAGGGAAAAACAAGGTATGGTCAGCTAACAGCAAATACAGATGATATTCCTTCATATACTTCCCTTAAGATTAAAGGAACAGGGGCTGGGAAGGTGGCTCAGTGGTAGAGCACTTGCCTTGCATGCCTGAGGCCCTGGGTTCGATTCCTCAGCACCACATAAGCAGAAAAAGCCGGAAGTGATGCTGTGGCTCAAGTGGTAGAGCGCTAGCCTTGAGCTGAAGAGCTGAGGGACAGCACCCAGGCCCAGAGTTCAGGCCCCACGACCGGACCCAAAAAAAAGATTAAAGGAACAAAGTCACTTAGGGGAAAATGAAACAGGATAACTCAAGGAAACTGAGGCCTGGTGACGGCAACTCAGAAAAATGGTATTTAGGAACTTAGAAATGCTATCTTTTGCTTTAGGGAGAGACAACAGGATGCGTTTCTTCCTGAAGGATGCATTTCTCATCAAAGGATTAACAACTGATAGGATGCCCCAAAATGCAGATAGTAGGACACCTCCTTGTCTCAAGGGTAAGCATCTGTTTTATGACAAGATGTGTTCTTACCTGGAAACTCAGAATAACACCTGGTGGAGTTAGAGCAAAGATAAAGTACCTAGCTTTGCATAACTTGAAGCCAGACCCCCTGCCTTTATAAATACCCCCAAAGACCCAAGGAGCTGGGTGTCTCCGTGTGTGTGTGTGTGTGTGTGTGTGTGTGTGTGTGATGAGATCACCCACACTCTGCTAGATTGTGCTCCTACCCTTCTGTGTGTCTCCTTTTTGGGTGTTTGTCTGCTTGTCTGCTTGTTTACTAATAAAGCTCTGCCAAGTTTTCCTACCATTGTGACTTGTCCAGAAATTCTTATTCTACAGTCAAAGTCAAGGACCCTAAGTGAAGTGTTCCTATATTTAAAGAGAAGCCGCCTGTAATCCTAGTTACTTAGGAGGCTAAGATCTGAGGATCATGGTTCAAAGCCAGCCCAGGCAGAAAAGTCTGTGAGACTCTTATCTCTAATAAACCACTCGAAAACTGGAAGTGGTGCTGTGGATCAAACGGTAGAGCGCTTGCCTTGAGCTGAAGAGCACAAGGACAGCGCCCAGGCCCAGAGTGCAAGCCCCACCACTGACAAAAAAAAGGGAAGCTTCACTAAACCTCACTCTGTCTGGTGACATAAATAGGTGAATATATCTGATTTGCCAATAGTATCACTGACTGCAAATAGAAAGCATTACATTTAAAGTTGTAAAGTCTAAAATTTTGAATGTAGAATTTTGTATTTTATTAATTTCATATAAATGAGGCAAAATAAAGATTGAATATGTGAAAAACATTGGAAGAAGTATTTTTGCTGTAAGAAAAACACTCTATATCTCAACATATAAAAGAAAGCTAAGAATTATTTATTACTTTATTGTTATTATTACTATTATTATTATTTTGTCAGTTGTGGTGCCTGGGCAATGTCCCTGAGCAACTTTTTGCTTAAGCACTCTACCACTTGAGCCACAGTGCCATTTATGGCTTTTTCTACTTATGTGGTACTGAGGAATTGAACCCAGGGCTTCATGCATGCTAGGCAAGCATTCTACCACTAAGCCACATTCCCAGTCCTTATTATCTTATTAATAAAAAGAAAACACTCGACATTTTACTGGTTAATGGGAGTCCCACAGAGTTGTCTGTGTGGGTTGGCTTCAAACCTTGATCATACAGCTCTTAGCCTTGAGGAACCAAAAGCACTTGGCTCTTTTGGCTATTCTTTAAAATTAAATATGGCGATAAATCATTTTAATTTTCATTAATTTCAGAAGATCTGGATTTCCTTTCCATTCTTTTTTCTTTGTTCTTGTCCTGAGACTTGAACTCAGGTTCTGGGTGCTGTCCTTGAGCTTTTTTGCTCAAGGCTAGTGCTCTACCATTTGAGTCACAGCTCACTTTTGACTTTTTTTTGCTGGTTAATTGGATAAAAGAGTCTTATGGACTTTCCTGCCCTGACTGGGATTCTCAGAGCTCAGCTTCCTGAGTACCTATGATTACAGGTGTGAGCCACCGATGCCTAGCTTCTCTCCATTCTTGAAGACTAGTTTCACTGAATATACAATTCATGGTTGGCAAGTTTTTTTGTTTTTTGTTTTTGTCGGTCATGGGGCTTGAACTCTGGGCCTGGGCACTGTTCTTTGGCTGTTCGGCTCAAGGCTAGCACTCTACCACTTGAGCTACAGCACCCCTTCTGGTTTTCTGGTGGTTAACTGGAGATAAGAGTCCCACAGACTTTCCTGCCCAGGCTGGCTTTGAACCGCAATCCTCAAATCTCAGCCTCCTGAGGAGTTAGGGTAACAGGTGTGAGCCATGGTGCTCTATTTGAGCTTTTCTGTTCAAGGCTAGTACTCTACCACTTGTGGCATAGCTTTACTTTGTGTGTGTGTGTGTGTGTGTGTGTGTGTGTGTGTGTGTGTGTGTGTGTTTAATTGGAGATGAAGCTCATGGAGTTTTCTGTCTGGGCTGGCTTCAAACTGTGATTTCCAAATCTCAGCCTCATGACTAGCTAGGACTATAGGCTCACTGGCACCTAGCTAATGATTTGTTCCTTAGTTTTAGCAATTATATTTTCTGGTTTTAAATTTTCTATTTCTGTTTTTTTGGTGGTACTAGGAGTTGAACTCAGGTCCTCTACTCCTCCGGTCGTGGGCCTGAACTCTGGGTCTGGGAGCTGTCCCTCAGCTCTTCAGCTCAAGGCTAGCACTCTACCACTTGAGCCACAGCGCCACTTCTGGCTTTTTTTTTTCTGCTTATGTGATGCTGAGGAATTGAACCCAGGGCCTCATGCATGCAAGGCAAGCGCTCTACCACTGAGCCACCTTCCCAGCCCTCACCAGCCCTTTTTGTAGTATGTATGTAGTTCCAATATTCAGGCTTGAATTTAGGATATAGCAATGGCATTTTTCTGGGAAGATATGTACCTTTTGAAACTAAGGTGATGTAGGAAGGGTTCCAAGTTTGCATGAGTCCGAACCCAGTACTTTAGTAATAACAACCCAAAGTACACCAAAGGAAGTTTTGTTTTGAGCCAAAGATAGGGAGATGTGGAAACCACTGCAAACTGCCCAGCCAAGATGTGCCACGGTGGCCAGAATGTGAGAGCCAGGTGTATCTGCCAGTGTTTCTGGGAAGAAGTGCGGAATTGTCATTTTGGGCTCTCCAAAGGGATTGTACAACAAAACAGGGAAAAACAAGAAAACGCCACTGAACCCCATCTTGCTCCCAAATATCCCTTCCTTTCCCTTTAAGACTCTTCACAAGTCTTCACGATTCAACACTACCAATGGCTCCATCCATCTTCTTAGGAACAGCCGACGTTAACCTGTCCTTCCAACGCTAGCCGAAGAGCTAGGTGCAAGTCTCTGAGGTCGTCGATTCAGGGTCTTAGTCTGACGGCCACTCAGTCCGAAGGAGCCACTTGGCTGAGCGGGACTACATTTCCCAGGAGCCTCGGCGCCTGCCTCCGTATCCGGTCTTCCTCCGGAAGAGCTCTGTACGCCCGGAGTGTGCGTGCGTGCGGGGTGGGGGCGTTACCTCCGAACGAAGCAAACGCCCGGGAGGGGGCGTGTGCCCAGTGAGGCTTTGCCAGAGTTGGGGGTGTGGCGGGTCCCTAGGTCCGCCGGTGGGATTGTAATCCCGTCTGGGGGACGCAGGTTGTTGTTCTGCCCAGAACCTCGGCCCGCCCCTTTTGATTCAGGAGTCGTGACTGATCGGGAGTCGGGGTGCGTGGGGAGGAGGATGTTCAACAGCTGCCTTACCTCGGGTCCCCTGTGTTTGGTAGCGGGCGGCTGCGGGGCTCGAGGCTACCGTTAACCGTCGGTCCGCGGGGGGAGGGGGGGGGGGGGGGGGGGAGGGCGGAGGGTGCAGAGGTGAGAATCACAGCTCCAGCCCTCAGTGTGACTACTTTGAAGCTGTGCCTGTTTTACAAGTAAACGGAATTTTCGTGTGAACCAGTCGACGCAGTGCCGACCAGTAGTAGCTATTATTAAAGGTAGATAACTTCCCCCAACCAGTAATAGCTGCTATTAAGAGTGGCTAACTTCCCCCACTGAATTGAAATTCAGAAAGAAAAAGCACCCTTCCTGTTCTCAGTCACCCAAACATGGGCACATAATGGAAATTTCCAACCTTGTGCTAATGTCCCCCACTTCCTCCACGTGTATCTTCAGCAGTGTAATTGCCTTACCTCCCTGGCTAGTATAATGACCTGTGAAAAGCGAGATAGTCCATCAAGGCACGGTTAGAATAACAAGAGTTTTATGAACAGTAGAAAGGGCAAGAGCACCCTCGACCTTCAAAGCTCCAAGGCTCCAGAGGACAAGACTTTTCTTTCCCCTTCTGTTCTCTATTAGTTTTCTTCTGGTAGCTTGTTGTTTCCCTTTTAAATTAGTTTCCTTCCAGTAGGCAACCTCTCTCCCCTAGTCTCTCCACTTGCCAACTTCTTTTTTTTTATTGTGAAAATACTGTACAGAGGAGTTACAATTACATGGGCAAGATAATGAGTACATTTCTTATCAAGCATTGTAGCCTCCTCCTTT